TATGAAACTTTAAAAAGTTTCAAGTCACTCTCTCCTGAAACTAGAAGGAACAACACTTGCAATTACCATGATTCTTGCTTACAGCTAAGAAAAAATCATAGATGTGGCACCTAAGCCGACAGAACTTGAGCAGACAAACGAAAGTCCAACTATTTAATTTTTACCGGAAAAAAATTCAATTTTACATACTGAAAAAACAAGGTCTTGCCGTGAATCGAAGCCACACCATAGGATGCAAAAGCAGCCGTGTTACCTTTAGGCTAAATGCGATGGAACCTAGAAGTTGTTACGATTCAATGATAAAAATAAGTTCAATTTCTCATAAGTATAGTTTTTTACGCGGAAAATAGTCTAGTTCCCCATTACAAGACACTTGCTCTCGCAAGTTTATTCAAAAAATCAAACCGCAAAAATCGAAAAAAAACTATCTCGAACTATATTGGTGACTTCACTATGTTCATCTACTCTTAATGGCAAAACAAATATTCAAAACAACAAAAACGAAAACCAGTGAGCCAAAAAAATTTGAAAAAATGATCAAAATTCAACCCAAATTTCGATTCATTTAGTACGTTCAATTGGAGGAAAAAATTTTCCAAAAAAAAACAACTAGCAGTGATAAATTTATTATTAAATAAAACTTATCAAGAGGTAACGGGGCAGACGAACGTTGTTAAATTAACGACGCTTCATGAGGCAACTAAACCGAAAAAAAAATCATTAAAAAAAGGCAAAATGTCTGCTATTTCTATGTTTAATATTCTGTTGAAAGAATTAGACCCTTTTTTCTCTCTATCTTTCTTTCTCTCTCTCTCTCTCTCTCTCTTTCTCGATCTCATCTGCTCCATTAGGAACGTTATTCAGAAGGTTATTCATTCTAAATGTTAGAAAAAAAAAGCTAAAGCTTTTGGTGCTGAGACCACAGATGCGAAGCTGCACTTCGCAAACACAAGCAACAAAACGCCGAAAAATAACTCTTAAGTGAGAACAGGCCTTGAAAAAAACTTTTGCCATGAAATGGAATCAAACCCGCAACCTTGAGATTAAGAGTCCCATTTCCTTTTTTAATTGCCCCCGGTCCCAATCTCGGGTCTTGCTTCCGAGGGGGAGATAGATGTCATCCATTTTGCCGTAGACGGTCCCACTAACCACTAATAAGGCAGATAAACACGGGGTATCAAATTGCCAATGAAGGCAAAAAAGTGTCAACAAATTGCCAATAGAGGCTAAAAATTGCCAAGTTTTTTACAAAGCAAAACAATGAATTTTCAGAATAAAATATTGACTAAACGTTTCGTTGAAAATTGAGAATAAATCATTAAAATATATTAATCCGCACACTAAATTGAAAATGCGGGGAAAATTTTCGTAAAAAAATAACAGCTACTGAAATCATGCTTTAAAAAATTACAATATCTGCAGTACAACTTATTTGAGAGGATGGGACAAATTTAGATCAACTTTAGGTCAAATCTACCTATAGGACTTAAAGGGCTGAATTTTCACGTATTCGGATCAAAATTTACATTCACGATAAAAGTTTCCTGTTTTTTTAATTTTTATTTTAAATTTGATAGTAATTACAATCAGTTGTACCTAAGAAAACTTAATTAATCAGATTTTTCATAACACTATTTATAAATCATGACACTATTTAGGAGAGCATTTCTACGCGCAGCCAACTGCCTACACGGCCAGCACACAGTACATAAGACCCTACCTGATAGTGGACGAGCCCATGGGCTTCTACTGTCCAAACTGTAACCAGAATGTCTGGTCATTCACCCGCACACAAATAGGACTGGCAACCTGGCTCTGGTCATTCCTGCTGGCTTTCTTATTCTGTCCCCTTTTCTGGCTACCCTTTGTGTGCACCCCTTGCCAGGATATTGTGCATATTTGTCCAAATTGTAGGTTCAAGCTGGCAGAGATGAAACGCATATGACCGTAAAAGGAGGACTTTTCAGCAACTAACACCAGTCCTATGTTCAGTTATCAAACAGTCATTTCAGTGATAATGCAGGTGGTGATACATTAGACCTACTTATTAATTCAAATTATTCATGTGTTTTAATGAATTTAAAAAATTGCTGTCAGATGAAACGCAACTAACTGCAATACAGTGCTGATTTAAATTAACCGGACATTAACCAGATAAAATGCGTTTAACTTGAAACTTAAAACGCGTTTTTCTCAAATTGGGTTCAGTTTAGGTGAAAACTTATGAAGACAAGAGTTGCTTGAAATTTTTGCAGAATTAATATGGCGTAATTTGTTTTGCAAAATTCGGGCCCAAAATTTTACCCCAAAAATGGGTCATTTTGGCTTTTCTTAGTTAATCAAAAATTACGCCAAAAATACCCAGTCGATCACAGACATAATTAAATCAAAGAGAGTGCCGCCTTGCGTAGCCCAACAAACTTTAAGAAGGGTATATTCACCAAAACATTGAATAAGTTAATAAATTTTTTTGGTTGATAGACAAAAAAGGTCGTTTTTACTATATAAAACATCAACTTTTTATTTTAAAAACAATTTTTAAACGGTTTGCATTTTTTTGAGAATATACCCTTCTGAAAGTTTGTTGGGCAACGTAAGGCGCTCTCTTTGATATAACTATGTCTGTGATCGACTGGGTATTTTTGGCGTAATTTTTGATTAACTAAGAAAAGCCAAAATGACCCATTTTTGGGGTAAAATTTTGGGCCCGAATTTTGCAAAACAAATTACACCATATTAATTCTGCAAAAATTTCAAGCAACTCTTGTCTTCATAAGTTTTCACCTAAACTGAACCCAATTTGAGAAAAACTCGTTTTAAATTTCAAGTTTAACGCGTTTTGTCCGGTTAATTTAAATCAGCACTGTATTTTGGCAGCCTAATGACCATGAAATCAAAAAAAAACATTTTACGTGAGAAAATTGAATAACTCTGATGATGCATTTGATGAATACTCGCCAATACAAGACAAGATTAAGGTGCAATCGAAAATAAGAAGCCATGGTAAAAAGAGCTTTAAAAGACGATAACATACTTGACACAGATGATTCTGCGAAAAGGGAAATTCAAAAAGATACGCTAACTAGATACAAGTTCGGTTGCTGGGCCAGTAGCACAGGAGGTTCTGAGCACGGTAACATAGGAAAAAGTTATAAAAGAAACAAAACACTATTTTTCTTCAGTTTAATCATAAGAGACTTGAAACTCAACGCCAGAAAAAAGAAAAAAAAGGCTTGAAATTTCAAAAAATTTTGGCGTCATATTAGTTAAATGATTTCTTGACACAAAAACAATTATTGATTTTTTTGGAATCAGAATCACGACTGAAATGGCTTCAATGTACTACTACAAAATATCAACTAGTTCCCCGATGTACCTAAAATGGTGTTAAAAATGTTCATGTGTATGTTTCTTCCAACGATAGATAAAACAGATAGGCTTGCCTAATCCTCGAGGTAATGTCGATTTTCTCGAGCTAACTTTGTCTAAAAATCGTCGTTGGAATGAGGATGCTGAGAATTCAGACAACTTACCTACACTGATTTGAGTCTGACTAGCAAAAATCAGTCCAATTTTTCTTGTAACAGAACTTTTTAAAATTTAATATAAAAAAGCCGAAAAAACAACACTACTTAAGTAGTGTCTTCACTTCGTTCATTGACCCTATATAAATCTAAACACAGAGGCGAAGCTGAAATTCTCACCACTAGCAAAACAAAAATGAATGACTAAGATTAAAATCAAATGACAAGAAAAATCAAAAATCCAAAATAAAATATTAAAATTGCAAAAAAGCCAAAAAAAGTCCGGAACAAAACTACCTGTTCGATTAGAAACTTCACAAGAAGCTTTGGGAATGCTAGAAAGAAGCCGAATTTTCAAAAAAAAATCTTTTCTGCGGGAACTGAGCCGAGAAAAATAAACAAACGAACCATAGTCCGAAAAAGCAACAGATGAAGTTTACAAAAAACACAGACCCCGGCCGGATTCGAGCCAGTAGATTGTGCCTCTTTGTGATACCTCTACGCCAGATGTTTGATAGAATATAAGAAAATACCTTCGTAGACAAAACAGTAAAGTCAAAATTGCCAAACAAAACTTTTCATTACTTTTAGCTAACTGCCAGTCCTTTCGGAACAAAAAACGAAACCAAGCATTCAAAAAAATGAAAAGAGCATTCAAAAAAGTCAAACAAAAAATCACTTTAAAATTTTTCATTTTCTAACTGATACTTTTAGCGTGTAGAGAAACTAAAAAAACCGTTAAATATAGTTTCGTTCTTCAAAATTGAATTGGATAAAACAATGAATTGAATAAATTGAATTGACAAATAACCGTCAAATATTGGGACGAAATAAAAAAACTACAAAAAAAGTCAATTTCTACCTTTTTTGATTTTGATCGAAATTACCAAACGCGATTTTTTTCTACGCTTCGCTTGCGTGCACAACCAAAATGAAAAATGGGAATGCACGCGAACTTCGCAAACAGACAGATGGGAAAGTTAGAGGAACCGAAGAATACCGGAAAATGCCAAATTTCAAAAACGCATTTTCAATGGAAAAATGAATTTAATCAATCTGAGAAAACGGGCTCAATAAATCTACTTAACAATTGCTCCCCCCCCCCCCATTGTTAAGAAGAAAACAATGTTGTAAAAAATTCTTGTTTTTTCGGCTTTTTTATATAAAATTTTCAAAAAGTTCTGTTACAACTGCAAGAAAAAAAACAATAAGTAAATAAGCAGTTTCCCTCCTTTAAATTCCAAAAAATTATTATTCTCAATACAAACCTCTAGCGCTAATTTACTGCTTTTATTAACAGGGGTCGAAATTCTTACGTAGATACCAAAATTCTTACGTAGATACCAAAAGGAGGGCGATTGTTAAGTAGATCCGGATCAATAAGTATTTTTATTATTCCGCTGCAAATTCTAGAAAAAATCACTTCAGAAACCTAAATTCGTTCACGTTTTTTTGAGCCAATCACAGTTTTTTATTAGAGGGCTTGAATTGACCTGGATTCAACAAATGAATTTGAAGTAAACGAACTAGAAAAGTCCAACCGATAACCTAAAAACAAAACTATCAAAACTACTAGACCTAAATTAGTGAAAACTCACTTAGTTTATTAACTCTTCAGAATGTATAGTGTTGGACTTCAAACCACCAATCTTTCAACTGAGAGGCAAAGTTCGTAGCCACTTTTCCCTTTTCGATGATACGGCTGCTAAACAGTCTTGACCAATTGTGATTCGTGAAACAAAACAGTTGCATATAAAAATATTTTCAATTATAGAGATAGACATGGTTGCACAAAAGTGTTAGCGAAAGCATGACAACTCGACTATGGTTAACATTCGATGAGACAATCTCGCATTTCTTCTGGCTTCAGCTCTGGATTGCAGTTAGAGGGGTCGACAACTGAGCTGCTTTCTGGACTATCCACACCACACCATACAAGGCGCTGTTCTCTCTTTGTGCACAAATTTGATGTCTGGCTTTTGCTTGTTTCCTCTCCATCTTCATTATCCTCACGTTGATAGCACTGAAAAAATAAGCGCTTTTTGTCTCACAGAAGCAGCTTAAACAAATGAAAGACAAAGCATCAAAAATGCACTGAATTCCATATCCTTTAAACAGGCAAAGCTGCGCTTCGCGACCGCAAGCAAAAAAGCATGGAAAACAGGAGCTTCAAAACTGCAAGAAAGAAAAAACAAAAAAAGTAAATAAGCAGTTTCCCTCTCTGCTTTTCAAATCTCAGGCTTCCGAATTTTGAAGCATACGTCTTCCTGGCTGAACCACCAGTTCCATCAAGCAACTAGAGTACATACATGACTTAAACACAGCGGATAAAACACAAGCTAAATTAAGCTTTAACTCATGCAAGGTAGTTTGTAAAAAAAATACTTATTTTATATTCACAGCGTTTATTGTGTAAAAAAAACAGCTCAATAGAAAGAGTTAACGTTTGAGATCAGATTGATCCAAACAGGCAAGTTGAACATCGTAGTTCGAGACGATTTCGATTTAATTTTTTTCTCGAAACTTCTTATCAAAACCTCTCAGCTTCAACATTAAATTGATCTTGCAAACAGTTACTTGATGGAACAAATACAGCGTAGCTTCCAAACTTCTAAATGAGAGGAAATTTACCTCAAGCGAGGGCCAAGCTGAGGTTATCCACTCTATGGAACAATTGCCCCGGTAGCATTCTCCATTTAAGTCCTCTGATTTGGTCTCAATAGTTTCCGGACTTGTGCTGAGCTGAGGGGCCTTCTGGAAAATTTGCCTCGCTTCATCTTCAACTGAACACAAACAAGATAAAAATCTTGATCAACTTCAAAGTATTCTCTTTTCTGTCTTCAAAACTTTTCCAATCAAGACATGTTACAGAAGTGTTAATGTTTTATTTACTCCAGCATTATTTTTAAAGGCGCAAAAATGCACGCAAAGTTTAAAACGAGCAAATAAAACTTACGGAAGATAAGCGTGAAATTGAGCTGTTTTTGGCATCTGCATTCTGGACTAGTATTTGCTTTATTATGCCTGGAGTAACAGATTTCTGGAATGTTTATAGAGCACGTATAAAGGCCAGCTTGATTCTCGGGTTCAAAGCTGTCAATATAATAATCTTTCTTCGCCGATAATCTCGTCTTGTCCAGTTCGCCATTTATTTTCCACGAAAAAGTTGAGCCTGGAAATCGGCAGTCCAAGGCACATGACAAATTCACTGGTTGTCCCTTTTTGACGAAGAACGTCCGAGAGAGATTGAAAACTGTCAAGTTCAGCACTTAAAATAACCTTACTATTAACTTCTTAGTAAACAAAGCAGCAATTAAATCTGAAAAAAAATTACACTGATCTCCCGGACACGGTTTGTAGCAGTCTCGGAAGCTACTTGGTTTATCTTTCAAGTCACAGTGTTGAGATTGTACAGTGGTACCATCGGCCAGTCTCTGTTGACATCCTAAGTCCCTGGTATTGACTCCACGCCCACATGATTTACCGACGTTCGTAGTATGACAGGCCTGCACCACCAAAACAAAACGATTTAGGACAAAGACTAATATTCTAATAATCACTTGGTTAACTTAAATCGTTGCAGCAAATTGCACAGTTAGTGAAAGAGCAGCAAAGTGCACAGTTAGTGAAAATTTCAAGTAGTGCAGCAAATTGCACAGTAAGTGAAAATTTCAAGTAGTGCAGCAAAATTTCAAATAGAGCAGCAAATTGCACAGTTAGTGAAAGAGCAACAAAGTGCATAGTTCGTGAAAATTTCAAGTAGTGCAGCAAAACTTCAAAAAGAGCAGCAAATTGCACAGCTAGTGAAAATTTCAAATAGTGCAGCAAATTGCACAGTTAGTGAAAGAGCAACAAAATGCACAGTTAGTGAAAATTTCAAGTAGTGCAGCAAAATTTCAAAACGTGCAGCAAAATGTACAGTTAGTGAAAACTTCAAGTAGTGCAGCAAAATTTCAAAAAAAGCTGCAAATTGCACAGTTAGTGAAAGAGCAGCGAAGTTCACAGTTAATGAAAATTTCAAGTAGTTCAGCAAAATTTCAAAAAGAGCAGCAAATTGCACAGCTAGTGAAAATTTCAAATAGAGCAGCAAATTGCACAGTTAGTGAAAGAGCAACAAAATGCACAGATTGTGAAAATTTCAAGTAGTGCAGCAAAATTTCAAAAAGAGCAGCAAATTGTACAGTTAGTGAAAACTTCAAGTAGTGCAGCAAAATTTCAAAAAAAGCAGCAAATTGCACAGTTACTGAAAGAGCAGCGAAGTTCACAGTTAATGAAAATTTCAAGTAGTGCAGCAAAACTTCAAAAAGAGCAGCAAATTGCACAGCTAGTGAAAATTTCAAATAGAGCAGCAAATTGCACAGTTAGTGAAAGAGCAACAAAATGCACAGTTAGTGAAAATTTCAAGTAGTGCAGCAAAATTTCAAAAAGAGCAGCAAATTGTACAGTTAGTGAAAACTTCAAGTAGTGCAGCAAAATTTCAAAAAAGCAGCAAATTGCACAGTTAGTGAAAGAGCAGCGAAGTTCACAGTTAATGAAAATTTCAAGTAGTTCAGCAAAATTTCAAAAAGAGCAGCAAATTGCACAGTTAGTGAAAATTTCAAGTAGTGCAGCAAAATTTCAAAAAGAGCACCAAATTGCGCAGTTAGTGAAAGAGCAGCAAAGTGCACAGTAAGTGAAAATTTCAAGTAGTGCAGTAAAATTTCAAAAAGAGCAGCAAATTGCACAGTTAGTGAAAATTTCAAGTAGTGCAGCAAAATTTTTTAAAAAGCAGCAAATTGCAAAGTTAGTGAAAGAGCAACAAAGTGCACAGTTAGTGAAAATTTCAAGTAGTGCAGTAAAATTTCAAAAAGAGCAGTAAATTGCACAGTTAGTGAAATTTTCAAATAGTGCAGCAAAATTTCAAAAAGAGCAGCAAATTGCACAGTTAGTGAAAATTTCAAGAAGTGCAGCAAAATTTCAAAAAGAGCAGCAAATTGCAGTTAGTGAAAATTTCAAGTAGTGCATGGAGCTAAGTGTCACCAAAATGACTTTCAACAAAAACTTTTTGAAGTCCTTCATAATTCTTAAGAAAAAAACGGAAATCGGACGCACATCAAAACGGTGTCAAAGAAAAACAAAGAAAATTTGCACGTTATTTGAGTCAAAAATAACAAAACCGATCGTTTTTTCTAAATTTTATGCAGAAAAATGAACTAGAAAAAGTAAATTTGCAAACACAAGCGAGAAAGCGGCAAAGATTCAAGAGCTTTAAAATGCAGAAACCTCAACATTTGCATGCAATAAACTAAAGGCAACCGCACTAACTCTGCGTGTAATAAATAAAGTCGGGGAAAAGAATCGAAAAAAAAATCAAAACAAACTAGATCTATCAGAATGAATAACGCTAGTTTTGCATGCCAAGACTTAACCAAGAAAAAAAAACAAGTCCCCTTCACCCTAAAAACACACACACAAAACTTTAATTGCTCGTCAAATCAGACAACAGGAGACCACTAAGCCAAAATAATATAGACCAAAAACTATTATGCCAATAAAAAATTCCAAAAACTTAGACTAATAAACAATTATTAGTTCCTCCTCGCCCTCAACACACACATGCGCACAAGTTGATTCGCTCGTTGAAACACGTCATATAGAGCCATAAACCGATATAATACAGAACCTATCCGAAAAATATGAGGCCGAACAAAATATCGTCAAGAAAAAGCTAACTAAAATTTCAATAAAATTTAGAGCAATTTATGCAAACCAATGAGCAAAAAACAATAACACTTTTCCTTTGAAACGACTGAAAATTAGGTCATTAAGCCGATAAAGATTCAGCCGAAATCATTTGGGCAGAATAAAGTTTCTAAGCGAAAGAAAAGACAAAAAATGAAAATATACGAAGACACGAAGTACAAATAGCAGAAATGTATCAAAACATTTAAAGCAAAAAGAAATTAATTGTGTAAAACAAAAAAAATACAATAAGGCAACTAAGGAGACAAAACATATAGACACATAATAAGCAGACAATTTTTTTTGAGACGGAATATTGCTCGTTTGAAAAAAAAAAACAGATCCTGTGAGATTCGAACCCTTGGCCGCCGCAGGCATATTCGTTACCTCCAGACCAAATGTGACGGATACGCGAAAAAAATAGAATTCAATATGAACTGAACCTAAATTTACAATTTATAATGTTGACTCTTCAGTGAACATAGTTATTTACAGGCCCAAAAAGTCTAGTACCCGATTGCAATACTCTTGCTTATCGCAAGGGTAAAAATGGTGCAAGAAATAAATAGCTTTTTTTGTTCCAATTGACGAATTAAGAACGTATCAACTGCGTTAACTTATTACTAATCAGATGTCAAAGCACATATCACGAAAGTGCCAATGATTCTTACTGATTCAACATTGCCGCTGAAAAGAAGCACTTTTATTCAAATTTTTTTTAGAAGCTACCACACTACGCTAAGCTCGTGAAAAGACATACAAATAGAAAGCAAGACCTTGGAAAATACTCATCTTCACCGCTAAAACTTAAAATGAGCAAGATAACTGAAATACATATGCAAGAAAGATCAAGGGGCTCAAAACAATCAAAGCAGGGCAAATAAGACAGCTAAACTTAAACCAAAAACTGAAAAAACCCTAACTCCTATCTTTGACTAAAATGCGTTGGAATATTACCAATTTTTCTATGTCAATGAACTGTTCAACAAACGCCGGAAAGGCTATTTACATGTGGTTAGAAAAATTAAACTTCCAACGATTAATGCTGCAAAGTTGTTTTCGAGAAAATAAAATCGAGCCATCGATTATAACAATTGCTCGCGGAAGTGTATCAATTTGCATCAGCGGTTAACGCGTGTTTCCATTATCATTAGATCTTTTATTTATACCCGAGGCGAAGCTGCTTTTCGCAAAACCTAGCAAAACAACAAAATTTTTAAACATTTTTAACGACGGATTCGAACTAGCAACCTCGAGATTAAGAGCCTCTTGTATTGCCCACTCTGCCACGGACACTTAATGATCGACAAACACTAGCCACAAATAAAGCAGAGAGCAGATGCTATGAAATTTACAATGCTAAAGATCGTGATCATAGCAAAAATGCCACCAAATGAGTACTTTTATTTGGGAGTAAGGTTGGAAAAAAGTATGTCCATACTAATACACTACGATCACAAGTTCGCTAGTGTAAAAATGTAACAAATATACAGTGTCAATGCACATTAAATGGTCTGAATATGAAAACCAATTGTTTCTTTACAAAACAAAAGCGAGAACACATACTGTTCGAATTCACATAAATTTAAACACAACTTTTTACACAGAGGCAAAGTTGCACTACGCTAACGCAATCGAAAAAACGAGAAAAAACTACTCCAATAAATTATATAAAAAATGAATAAAGAAGAAGTAAAAACACACCTTATAAAATTAAAGTTAAAGGCAAGTAGCAAAAAATAAAACTATGACTACCTACTGACTTCTAAACACCGAACTTAACAACGAGTTTCACGTCCTCGCATCTACCCCATGGTCACTTGACAAACTGCAACCACCACTAGCCATCAATAAAAACAGATTTGATTAAATTGCTTAAGGTATGCAGCGAAAGTTCCACCAAAAGAGCTTAGAAAAAAATTCGTTAAATATCCTATCGTTCGCTTGTGTAAACAAGTGCAAACATTTTCTGACCCCAACATTTTATAACCAACTCTATTACAATCAATTTTTAGGACTAACTAAGGTAATTAGAACTAACAGTTGACCACTTGGAAGTAGAATACTGAGGCTCGCAGTCAGTGTCGGCACATTTCACGGTTCTACTGGGTTCTGGTTGCAGTAAACATTTTTCGACATCCGCTCGATAGCTTTCGTGATTTGGGTTCCCGCAGAATACTTCCCGAGTTTTGATTCCTCCGCCGCATTTTACGCTACACTAAACATTGTATCTAAATAAAAGGCTCGCAAAAACCAGCATAGCAATTTTGGTTTAGTTAATTTAGATTACCTCAGTAAAATTGAAGACAATCCACGAAGGGGGACAGTCTTCAGGGCATGGGGCTGGATGATTGAAAGGTTTGATAAGATGCTGACAAGAAGAATGTTCTAGCCCATCAGAATTTCTGCTATCGTTCAGGTCAAGCTTTGAACAAATGATTCTCCTTTTCTTTGTCGCAGTAGAACAATTGCATTGATCATGATCTGTAAGAATTTTCCAACTAAAAACAAGAATGAAAATCACAAAAGCCTAATTTGAATTCATAAGAAAACAAGGATAGCCGGTTGCTGTGCAAATAGCACAAAGTGTTCCGATCATAATCTTAAAACTCTACAAATAAGTTTTTTTTTCAATTAATTTAAATCTTTTGGTTCGTGGCGTGATGAAAGGAATTGAACGAAAGACTAGACTCAAGGCCACTTCCGATATCCATAGTGGTAATACTATGATAGAGTGGTCCCTTGAAAAACCAACTATGGTAAGTAGTTGCTTATGATCAGTTAGCTCCTGCTTTTATGGATCAGCCAGCTTTTTTGTTTAGTTTCTGTTAACAATTTTTTTTTACATATAAACATGTTTCAGCGCTGTAATGTTGTCCGGTGGGGTTTACTAATACAGTCTGAACCAAACAGTGTTTTTTATCCAGTTCACATGGATGCAGGAGCAGATGATGGATCCGCCTCAACAGTGCAACCATCGGTTGTATCAATGTTCAAACCCCGCCGGTATGGCTATCAACCATGTCATTTGAATCTTGGAAGAGAGAAATTTTAATGTGGGCCGCGGTCACTGATATTCTAGAAGAAAAACGAGCCCTTGTGATAGCGCTTTCATTGACGGGTGCGAAGACAGAAACAGCGATGTCTATTCCGTTATCAAAATTGAACCTTAACGAAGGCCTAACCAAACTTTTAGACACTTTGAAAGGAGCGTTCGGTAAAGAAGCGGTTGATGAACTCTTCGCAGACTATAAAAAGTTTGAAAAACTCTGTCGAACAAATGCGAGCATCGTTGACTTCATTGCTGAGTTTGAGCAAGCGAACGCTAGGTTTAAAAAGCAAAAAAAATTGAGTTACCAGAAGAAGTACTAGCTTGCAAGCTATTAGTCTGCACTGGGCTAGATGAGCGAGACAGAAAATTAGTGCTCTCTGCCACTCCGAAACTCACTTTGGCGGATTTGAAAAGTAGCATCAAGAAAAATTTTTCAACTGTGATTGCTTGCAACCAGGCCTCCGGGAGTACACCAATTGTGGTTAAAGATGAACCTGTTTTCGTATCCCATCGTGAAGTAGATACCGCTTTGTACACTAATTCGGGGAGTTTCGACACCGATAGAAAAGGTGCTGGACGAGGAGGAAACTTCCGTACGTCCGAAGTAAGCGACCGTACGTCCGTGGTTCTCATAACAACGGTGGACAGAAACCAGCAGGAACGAATCCTCCCAACCAAGATGGTCGTATTAAAACATGTGGACACTGTGGAAGTAAGTCACTTTCATTGGGTGAAAGATTGCCCAGAAAAAGAATCGTCAGCTTTGGTGTCACAAGACGATGTTCCGCGTGACATTGAGGGAGAAGGCCTTTCTGTCTTTTGTTATGTTGTCTGGTCAACTCACTGATGAATGCCATGGAAAAGCTATCTTGGATTCAGGTTGTTCTACGACTGTAACTGGAAAAAAATGGCTGACCGATTAATTTAAACTACTGCCGAAGCCTCTGTTCAAACAAGTAATCAGAAAACCAGTGAGTTCCAGTGTTATTTTTGGAGGATGTGAGAAAATTAAAATTACAACTGCCCTTTATATTCCGGTGATGTTTAGTAATTGCTGTTGTTTTCTCAATGTTTCAAGAATACCTGGAGAGTTACTTAAGTTGTTGAGCATTGTTTCAATGGAGAAATCCAGAATGGTCATTGATTTCGGCAAAAGAAAAGCGATTTTCATGGAAAATTCTGTCATACCGCTTGTTTCAGCATCAACAGGGCATTTACTGATGAATGTCAGTGATTTCAGCGAAGATGGTTTTAGTTTTTTTGCCTGCAAACTCAACAAGCCGAATATCCAGAAGCTGCACCGACAGTTTGATCATTGCTCAGTTGACAAATTAAGGAAGTTACTGAAAAGTAGCGGCGAAGACGTAAAATCATGAAATGACCGAGTTGGGCCGATCTGTGTGGCATTTACACATAATCGATATTTTCACTCGTTTCTCTGTTGCGACGTTTATTGTCAATAAATGAGCTGATACGATAATTGCAAAGCTCGTCGATAACTGGGGTTTCGTTTACGGGTTTCCGAACGTAATTTTAACAAACAATGGGAAGGAGTTCGACAATGGAAGTTTCAAGTCGCTTGCTGAGAATTATGATTTTACAGTGAAAACGTCGGCTGCCAACTCTCCCTGGTCGAGCGGCACAATAGTGTTATCACATAACTGTTTTTGAAGTTGAAGCTAGATCCTTCAACTAAATTAGGAAAAGATAGTCTCTTGAGAGTAGCAGGCTTCACGAAACATTCTCTGCTTAAAAAAGATGGTTTTTCATCATTCCAGTTGATTACGGCTCAAATCCACGCATGCCGTAAGTTTTGACGAATAAACCTCCGGCTCTTGAAGCAAAAACCACCAGCGAGTTCGTTTCTGCTCTAGTTTCGGGGTTCAATGCTGCTAGAAAAGCGTTTCCAGAAGCTGACTTCTGTAATCGAGTGAAAGAGCGCTGTGCGCTAAAACACGCAAAGACAACGGACCTTTTTCAGGATCAAGCTGTCTATTACAAAACCGAGCGCGAGAATCGGTGCCGGAGACCTGCTAACATAATTGGGGTTGATAATGCCGTTATTTTTCTGCGTCATGGAGGAAGTATGCTGAAAGTGCATTGCTCTCGACTGAGAAAATGCGTTGAAAACAATGTCTTGGTCGAAACTGTGGTGCCAGTATCAGAAAGAAGTAGAAGTGCGGTCATTGAGCCAATATCTGTACATCTAGAAAACAAGCAATCGAAAATCCTCTGGCGAGCACAAAAATTGGTGGAACGTCAAGTATGACGCACCTGAATTGTTGGCGGGGCGTACAGACTTTGTAGACATTTCACGGCTAGAGAATTTGCTGGTTTGTGGTCCAGAAGTTGCATTGTCGGTCGATACTGCCACTGTCAAAGAGGTATTGTCAGGAATCAATGATCCTTGTGCCGCTGAAAAGTGCAAAGAATTCCAAAATTGGATAGATAAAGATGTTTACTGTGTTGCTGAGAATGAAGTCCAGTTGTATCTCACTTGTAGAAGGGTCTTGACAGACGAAAATGGTAGGAAAAAGGCACGTTTGGTCATCAGTGGGTATGAAGATCCAGATTACTACAAGGTTATCAAAGACTCCCAACTTGTTCAAGAGAAGCATTTCGTATTTTGCTGCTAATTTGTGTCTAGAAAGGATGGAAGACAAATTCTCTTGACATTAAAATTGCTTTCTTACAAGGCTTACCTTTGACTTGGGATGTTTTTATAAAACCTCCACCTGAAGCCCAAGTTGAAGGTTCACTTTGGAAATTAATGCGCTGCGTTTATGGTTTGGTTGATGCAGCTCGGCACTGGTACAAGCGCGTTAAGCAAGAAATCCTGGACAGTTTCCCTTTTGATCCTTGCTATTTCACCTTACAAGAAATGAAACCCTTCATGGAATGCTATCCTTTCATGTAGACGATTTTTGGTGGTGTGGTGACGACATTTTCTAATGAGAAATCGTGAATTATCTTTCTAAAGTTTTCAATGTGCGTTCCAGTGAAATTGCCCAGTTCCGATATCTCTGTTTCGATGTTTTGGAAGAAAATGGTCGCCTCATATTGGACCAGAGTGATTGTCAATCAGATCAAAACGATTGAATCTCCGAAAGTAGGGCAAATACTGTCCAGAAAGCAGCACACTGAACTGAAGGCTTTGATGGGAAAATTGCAGTGGGTCGCGATTCAGACACGTCCAGACGTTTGTTTCGAAGTCAATATGTTTTTGGCCAGCTCAGATTTATGGAATAATGAACAACATTTTGTAATTGCTAACGAGATCGTTAGAAAGCTAGACGCAACAGCCAAGTTTTGTGCCATGTGTTTTGAAAACCCTGGAGATCCGAAAATTTGGTTAACTACAGCTTATAGCGACGCATCTCTCGGAAATTTACCTTCTCGAGACACACAAGCAGGATATCTTGTATTCCTTTATGGAAATCTTCGATCAAAAACCCTCATTAATTGGAAATCGAATTGTCTACGTCGCGTTGTCAGAAGCACGGCAAAGGGCGAAACACTTTTTTGTGTTATTGCTGTCGAACCTGCTTTATTTTGTCAGAAAATGATATCGAAACTGAAATCTGTGAAGGTTCCTGTGAAAGCAATTACTGATAATCGTTCAGTGGTGGAATCTGTCTACTCTACCAAAATTCCGCAAGACAAACGTCTACGCATCGAAAATCGGCTCTCCGTTCAATGGTAGAAAATTCATAAGTGTCGGAAGTTACTTGGAAGTCTAGAACACTTAAACTGGCTGACTTTGTAACGAAAAGCTCGAAAATTTCTTTTGAAAAACTGTTGAAATTCATCAATGATGACTATTAGTTGTGATTCAGTGCATTTTGTTCATGTCTACTTATTCTGTTGTGTTTTTAATGCTGTATAATATATTCATTTCATTCACAGTGAACGTCGTTGTTCATTTGATTTGAATCTGTGGATCTTTTATGAGCCGTATAATGTCCTCATTTCATTCGCTCATTTGCTGCTGCGAAAGCTGCGTTATTGCAACGCAATTATTTTTTTATCGCTTTGTTCATTTTAATTAATTCGACGACCTTGAAAATGGGAGAAATTTTAACACATTGCACAAACAAGGTGAAGCCACCACTAGTGACTCCATTGGGGGACAACGGGACATCAATGAAGAGGTATTGACTAAGATTGTGGATAGCAAGAGTGAACAGAATCAACAGATGTCAAAAAAATGAGTGGACTAGAAAAAGCAGTTCATATTGAGAGATAGAGAATCCGGAAGGAAATAAATCGCAATAGACGTATTATACAGGACCTACGAGACATACGCGATGATGGAAAGACACACTCAGGCCATCATCGCGTATGTCTCGAATGGACAGATTGGATGGCCTCCTGGTAAACAGGAGCGAATTTAGAAATAGAGTAGCACACTCAAGAGAAGCTAGTAGAGAGCCGAGAGTGAGCTTAAAC